TAAAGCTCTAGATATTACTCTAGATCTTATATTTAAAGATACTCCCTAAATACTATTAAAATAATTAGAAATTAATTCTAAATATTATTTATAATACTTACTAAGAATAAATCCTTAGTCTATATTAGTAGTAACTTTAGAGAGTCCCTTATTATAAAGATACTTTTATTTAATATAGATAGAATAATTTACTTATAGAAGTTTAAAAACTCTTTTAAATATAATTAAAAAAGTATTATAACTCTATAAGTTAAGATAGACCTAAACTAATAGTAGAACTTATATTATATTAGTAAAGGGAAGAAAAAGAAGAAAAAGACTTATTTACCTTAACTAGAGATTAGACTTTTAAAAGCCTAAATGACCTTAATATTATTAGAATTAATAAGATATTTATAGTTTATATTAAACTAAAAAGTCTTTAGGTTAAGATATTTAAATAGCTTAGCTTACTCTTTATAGAAATAAATAGCTATAAAGTCTACCTTATTATTAAATATAAACTAAATATATTATAATATAGGGTCCTATTTTTACTATTAATATTCTATAAAGACTATTATTTATAATAAGCTAGCTAGAAAATAAAGTATTAAATTTTAATATAAAAGATATTAAAAAAAGTCTTAGTTACTAAGGCTTAAATAAACCTTAGGTAGAGATCTTATATTAAACTACTAGTAAAACTTATATACTTTTAAAGATAATAGGAATAAAACTAGAATTAATTAGAAAATAATTCTATACTAAAGAGAAGAAAATATACTAAGAGCTATTCTAGGTTTTATTAACTAAATAAGAGTCTAAATTTCTTCTATAATTAAAGCTAGAGTTTTAGAGGGAATTAATAGTAAGTATTAGTAAGTTCCCTTTAATATTAAAATAATAGTATCTATTAAGACTCCTTAGATTAATATAAGAAAGTAATATTAAACTTAGTAAGATTTTTTAATTATTTACTTTATTAGTATATAATAGTTATATACTAGAAATAATTAGATAAATAAAATAAAAATATTCTAATAAAATATAAATAACTTATAATACTCTAATTTTTTTACTAGTATACTCTCTATATAATAATATTCCTTATTATATATTAAAGGGTCTATCTCCTTATTAAGAACTTACTAAATATAAGTATATTATATATTTAGATAAGTATTAACTATATAAAAGAAATATATTTTATATTAAGATCTATAGTTTAAATATTAAATATAAAGTTATTAAATCTAGATAATACTCTAGAATTTATTAGAATTAATTCTAAATTAATTTAAAAGGAATTCTTACTATAAAAATACTATAATAAAGAATAAGTCTATATAAATTCTTTTATAGATTATATCCTCTTCCTAATTATATAGCTTTAAGATAAGTAAGTATAAAACTAGTATAAAATATTAATATAATAATTAAAGGAATAAGTAGTAAAATATAATACCTTATTACTTATCTTTCTAGACTAGGATATTTAAGTATTTCTCTTAATTTTAAAACTTTATTAATAAGATCTTTATTAATCTTAGTATATAATTAAGTATTAGATATATATTTATATACTTAAACTCCTATATATTTAAAGTAATACTATATATATAGGTATCCTTAAAATAAAGATATTAAGGTTTTATATAGAGGTGCTTTATAAGCTATATAATATTATATTTAGAATTAAAGAATTAGTTCTAAATTAATTTATATAGGAAAAGAAATAGAAAGAAAAACCTATACTCTTCTAAGGATATAAATATTATATTTCTTTTAAGTTAGCTATTAGAATAATATAGCTAACTCCTTTCTTAGATATTTTTAGAAATTTAGGAATTTATAGTAAGTATATTAGCTCCTCTATAGTAATTATACTAGGAGGAATATTATTCTTACTTATATAAATCTTTAGATAAGCTAAGATAATAAAAAGCTTATTACTAATTATATTTAGAACTTTAGATATTAGCTAATATAAATTAGTAAGGTTAAGAAGAGAAAAAGAGTAAAGACTAGAGTAATATACTACTTTATTTTAAATATTTATCTCTAGAGGATTAAAAGCTTAATAAAGTTACTAGAGGTTTATATACTCTTAGTAAGTAAGATCTTATATTAGTTAAAAGGAAAAAAGACTCTTAGGATAAATATTTATAAGAGGGTTTATAGTATTCTTAATACTTTATTCTAGAGAGTTTATATTAAATAATTTAGTATTAGAAATAATTTAGAATTAATTCTAGTAAATAGAGGGGAAAATTAAATAAAGAAGAAAAAAATTAAAAGAAAAATTTTTATTTATTATTAACTTAATTAAGAAGATATAATTAGAAATATTCTTTTTTTAGTATATAAAGTAAAAAAATAAAGTATAGAATTTACTTAGAGATATTAAAAAATTAAGATAAATTAAATCTTTATATTCTATCTTTAAGAATTAGACTAAGTAAACTACCTTAGAGTTTAACTATATAAATTAATTTCTAATTAATTCTCTATTTATTTATTGCTTATTCTCTATTTTTAATACTTAATCTTTATATATAAGGAATAAATCTTAGAAGTAAACCTAAACCTTATAATTAGGGTTTTTACCTATAATTAGTAAGTATACTAGAATTAATTAGTATTAACTTATAAATTAATTATAAATTATTTCTACTTACTCTTATTATTAAGAAAGTATATAGTATACTTCTTATTAGTTTTATTAAAACTAGCTATATAATGTATTTTAAGGATATTAAGAACCCCTAAAGGAAAATAGGGTGTAGCTAATAGAGGGCTATTATTAAACCTAGACTATTTATCTTTATACTTAGGAAATAATTCTAAATTATTTCCTAAGCCTATTAGTATATTTAAGTTATTTCCTAAGCCTATATTAGGCTAAGTCTTAGTAATAGGTATTAATAAGAAGAGTTTAAGGTTGCTAAAGTCTTATGCTATAGTTATATTAGTAGTAATACTACTATAGTTACTTTAAATTAATTTAGAATTAATTTATTTAGAGTTAGTATTATTATTAAATAAGATAATAATACTAGAGGACTTACTAATAATAGTAGAGGAGTTAGTAATAGTATTAGAGGTATTATTGCTATTATTTTAATTAGAGGTAATAGAACTATCTTTAGATATAATAGAGCTAGTAGTAGTATTAGAGGAGTAATTACTAGGAATTAGTTTAGAATTATTTCTAATAATACTATTAGTAAATAGATCCTTAATATTAGGGGAGGAGGGAATTAGTTTAGAATTATTTCTACTAATATTATTAACCTTATACTAAGAGGTAGTATTACTAAGGGAGCTAGTAGTAGAAACTTACTCTAAGTTTACCTAGACCTAGAATTAATTAGTTATATATATAATTATATATTGAATTAATTCTATACTATTTTATTATTAGACTTAGTATTTATTATAGTATATATTACTATATAGTAAGCTCTTATAGTAAATTAGTAATATACTATAAGTATAGTATTACTTAGATAAAGCTCTATTAGGTTAAGAGGAGGGTAGGGTATTATTAATATAGCTACTAGCTTTTATAGAGTCTATATAGGGATTTAGCTAGCTATAACCTTACTATACTATCCTTTAATTTATTAGTAAAATAATTCTAAAATGTTTCTAACTTACTTATAGTTAATATTATTATTAACCTTATTTAGATTTTAACTAGGTGTATACTTCTCCTTCTTAAGGCTATAGATGTAATAAAGGTGGTTACCTAGTATTAATTCACTTATAAATAGAATAGACTAAAAATATTAGTATTAGTAGGAATTAATTTAGAATTATTTCACTTACCTTTAAGTATAATTATCTATTATTATTTTAAAAGCGATAGTATTATTTACTACTAATAATAATTACTTTATTATACTATTTAAGTATTAGAAATATTTTAGAATTAATTCTTATAGATAGTATATATTATTATATTTATACTTAGGTAATAAAGTGCTAGTAGGTCGCTTACTATTATTAAGGTAGTACTAGTAGTTTTCTCTAGACTTATATTTAAAGGGTGTTAATAGCACTATTATAATATATTAGAAATAATTTATAAATAATTCCTAGATAATTATTTATATATAATAGGGATAAAGGAGCTATAAATTATTTTAGAATTAATTTATATATAGTATAATTATAGAGCTAATAAGTAGAGGGAAAATACTACTTATATTATAAATAAAAGGAAGGTAAGAGAATATATAGAGTAAATAATTAAGTTTAAATTATTTTAGAATTAGTTTAGTTAAATATTTTACTATAGAAATACTAAATTAATTCTATAGAAATACTAAGACTATATATAGCTATATCTACCCTATATTTATTATATTTTTATTTATTAAAATATCTATAATAATTAATTATATTATAATTAATATAAATATAAAAATTAAATAAATAAATCTATATATATATAATAAATTATATTAAAATTAAATTAATTATATAAATAAATAAAATATATATTTATACTTAAATAATTACTTTATATTAGTTATTATTAATATTAATTAAAAATTTAAAAATTTATTTATTTTTTTAACTTTTATATTAGCTTAATAAGATTCTTAAATTATTTTAAATTAATATTATATTTACTAAAAATAGAGTCTTAGATTAGCTAAAAATAAGGTCTTAGGTCAGCTTAATAGAGGGTCTCAGGTCAGCTTAATAGAGGCTCTCAGGTCAGGTCAACAGAGGGTATCAGGTCACGGGTTTAACCGGGGGGGGGTCTCAGTTGGTCTGCACACTCGCATCCAGGTAGCTTAAGCCTCATCATCTTATAAACGCACGTCACCGATGAAATTAACCCATTCGGTGCTAAGGAATCAGACATCGATCTACACTACTTGGCACTAACATGCACAATGTAAGGCGAACAAAAGATGCTAGAAATAGGAGGAGGAGCGAATTGGCTGGGATATCCCTCACACCATAGTCGCAAAGGCTTCATGGGAGGCACCAGAAGCGGAAAGATGGATGCACCTGGTAAGCAGATCTCGGAATATTGTTGACCGCCAGATGTAATTGCCAGGCTAAGAAACGTTCAGGGACTGCCTACCGTAATTTCCCTCCAAACTGCCGGACAGGAGACACCCCCCCCGGCGTCAAACACCGAAAATACAGCGAAGGATGAGCAGCTCACAGAGGGAGCCAGGCCGAGCTCCAGGCTCCGTTTGGCTGGAGGATTAATCCCTCTTGCCTCTCCTCCACTGTAGGAGGCGCCTCAGCACCTAAACTGCGCTGTTCTTGATCTGGCATGGTTGTCGCGTCATGTACCTTTTGTCCTGCAGATCGGTTGGGACTAAGGCGGCCATCGGTGGCCGCGGGTCTTGAACCTGCGCTACAGGAATAATCACTTTTCTGAGTGGCCAGGACCAGTGCCATCTAATATTAAAGCCTGAGGTGAATTACCTGTTTGGTGCATGTCTCGTACCGTCACCCACCTGATTTAGGGGACCGTAGTACTGTAATAAACCTTAGGTTGACGGGACGAATCCGGCCGGTGAACTACGCACTCTCGGTATGAGATATTTGTTCAGCGCTAGAACGACTCGATCTCGGCGAAAATAGGCCCAGAATTCGGAACAAGTTTTTCACGCTCACGCTCCCCAACAGAGTAAGAAAATTTTCTTCAGTGGCGGATATTATTCACGGCGTCATACTTTTCGCACCGGGAAAGAATCGGAGACGTGCAAATGATCGGAAGCAATTTTTCTCCCTCTCGGGTGAATGCCAGGGTACCGCCATAGCATAATTGGATGATGTCGAGATCTAGTCAATGGGATGGAGACTGTACAGTGCACTCTTTTCATTGCCTGCTTCTACGTATGAATATGAATAAGATCAACAGCCACGACTAATGAACCACCCTAGCTGTTCTCCTCTCTGCCTATCTTTCGACGTACGTGGTAGACAGTCCGCCAGCACAGTACGAGCGCCGAGAACAGCCCTCTGATTAGTGCGTGAGGCTGTGCGCTCAGCGCGCTGAGAAGACGCAGCTGAGGTGAGGTAAGCATGATGGGCACAGTGTCCTCGGAATGTGCGTAGACACGGCTCAGCGGTTGGCCAATGGGCGTGGAGCCTGCGTTCATAGGGGACTGGAGCGCCATCCGGCTGGATACAAGGGCACTTGCGCTGGGCCGTGGACCGTAGCATTGCAGCGCCAAGAGGGCGGGCCTGCTTGCTTGCCTGCACAGGTACTCCGTCGCAAGTGCAGGTGGTCTACGGCGACCCCACCCCACAAATTGGACCTTCCGGCCACTGAGCACACCGAAACCTTGGTGCCGGCTGGGACGAGAACTTGTCTCACACCTAAATTACCATGTACCCTCTGTCTCTCGCAGGTCTTTGCATCTGGGTGGGGCCAGCTAGGGTCCCACCTGCCTCCTCCCTGACCCCGTCCTTTTTCTCTCAATTCAATGAGTCGCTAAAGCTCCCTGTCGCCGCTGCTTTCCTTTTGGCCCACGTGAAGCTCCCTCGTCTGGACTGTTTCTTTGTGCTTGCTTGTCTGCTCATATTTGAAAGCCATTCTCTCTGCCTCTCGCACTTTCGCATTCACATTCGCACGACTCGACCCGTCAACTGTTCCTGCACTTCTGGTCTCGCCCTCGCCGATTGCAGACTCAGCCAGGCTGCTTTGTCATCTCTTTGGCGGACAAGGGTGGCACTGCCGTCTCATACACCACAGAGCCCTTCGAGCCAAGGAGCGAGTTCTAGCAGCGCCTGTCTTAGTCGCCTCTGCACTGCCGCCCACCACGGGAATCGTTAGAATACCAAGGGTCTTCCCTCTTGTCTTGCCACGGCTGGTGTTTTGTTTGGCTGGAGATTAAAACGCGATCGGCGGCATTTCACTGCCACCCTGGCCTGACGAAATACCTGACGCAAGCTTAACAAGATCGTCGGTGCTCACAGGACGTCCCTGGCGCAAGCCGCATAACGTCGGGCAACGCCAACTCATTCCTTGAATCTGATTCCACTGCTGGGCGAAATCACCAACGGCCAGTCACAAAACAAGAACAAGAAACAAAGCACACCCAGGACTCCACTACCTTATGTCTCAACAATGAATATCTTGGAGTTATAGCCAAAGCGTCCCCTGGGACAACTCTTTCATACTCGGCGCTACTTGCAATCAAAGGTCACTGACTTTAGTGACTTGAACGATCTATCACGACTTAGCTATATCTTTGCCTGTTGGCAGTACTTTCCTCCTTCAACCCTATCATATCTTTTAATCACGCTTTTCACACCTTCTCCCTGAGGCCGATTATTTATCTGCTGCGCTGAAGGAGATTAACCTGGTCGGCTTCCTAGTACCTCTGGACCATTTATCATGATGTTGGGTACTACTTCAATGAGCTGGCATGCGCCAACCTGGGCCACCCAAGCCCCCGAGGATGTCGAAGAGGCAGATGAGCCCCCGGAACCGCCAAGTCCTCATCGGTTCCGTCGAACTCAGGTCAAACGCCCTAATGAGCAGACCTCTCTTTTGACCAAGGCCTTGATGGGAGGATCAGACAATGACGATTCTCTTCCTCAACACTCCGACTTTAATCGACGGAGGTCCATGGCCAGCAATGTCAGCATCGCCTCGACTGCGGATCTCACAAGCGATACTGGATTCACTAGCCCTGCTCGAACTAACACGCCCAGCCCGCCTGTCCCTGAGCTGCTGATTTCCCGGCTCAATCGCCTCGACATTCAGGGCAAGATCCCCACCCAACTGGATAAAGCCCTGGACGTTCAGAGTCGGAATCAGGTTGCGAGGTCGCATGACGAGCCAAAAGTTCCACCTCGAAAGCGATGCATCCAATTCGCTTGTGGGGCTAAGCCCAACAGCAACACATCGACCACAGACTCGACCACGAAGCAAACTTCCCATCAGGATGCCCCTGCTCGAAAGACTTGTATCAAATTTGCTGCCTGTCCCACTCGCCAACCGTCTTCCAAGAATACACCACCTCAACAGACTGGCCGAATCCATCAAAAGCATGCTCACTCTCCATCAACACCCAAGAGGGAACCGGCAACGCCATCCACCCCTCGCCAAGCCAGCTTTCGTCGTTCTTCCGATCACTCCGTATCACGTCCCAAGTTTCTGCGGGCCAACTCCACCGATCTAGTAAACGATGGATCCCAATTCCACGAGTTTGCAAGTGAAACGTCTAGAGAGGATGACTGGATTCGTCACGCCAACACCTCAGCCAACTACAAACTCACTATCAATGATACCCTTGTGAAGGAGAATCAGATCCGGCGACTAGCCAAAGAAGCCGAGGAGGAAGCCGAGCTTGAGGAAGACGAGGAAGAGGCCGCAATTGATGATGAAGAGGATGAGGAGGATGAAGACGAAGATGAAGACGAAGATGAGGACGAAGATGAGGACGAGGACGAGGACATTGAGGATGGGGATCTTGACGACGATGAGGATGAGCTGGAGGATGAACTATCTGATGGCTACCATACCGACGAAGAGACTGGATTCGCCGATTCGGACGAGTCTGATGCCGAGGATGGAAATATGGCTCTTTGGACATTGAGTAAGAGTCCTCGCTTGCGGCCGAGTCTCAACGTACCCGTCTCCCGACGACCATCACTCCAGGGCCATCAATCGGACTCATCAACAACTACGGGCGGTAGTCCTCGCCGCTCAAAAATGAAGCGCGTCAAACCCCAGCCTGAAGCTCCTGACCTGCCAGACAGCACCGATTTCGTATGTGGCACACTGGATGAAGATAGACCTCTCGAGGAGGCCTACCTCTCCTGCCTGGCTGCTCGCAGGAACGAAAAACTCCGAGTCATTCCTCAAGACATTGACCCTAGCTTCCCGGCGTCCGAGCCTGAAGACGAAGACGATGAGGATATCTATAATCCTGTCCACCATGACAGCGATGATGACCTTGTGGGCGAGATGGAAGACATTCATCACGGGCAAGAGAGATCTAGAAGGAGACGCAAGAGTGACCTCGGCTCTCCACGCAAGTATCGCTCTCCTGCCCCAAAACGACACCACTCTCCTGCGCCAAAGCGGCTGCATTCCCCCCCGCCAAAAAAGCATCATTCTCCACGTGGCCGTTCACCCAAGCTGCTGTTCGATCGTCAGTCTCCCCGAAGATTGAGATCCCCAGCCCCAAGGGCAATGGTCACACCAAGAGGGTCTCCCCGCCAGGGCATTCATGTCAAATTCAACCTTGCGGCCCGCCCCGGCCCTACCATTACTAAGTCCTTGCCAAGACCTGGAATCTTCACTTGCCGCAAGAACGATCGCCACTATAGAGGTGAATATGTCGGAATTGATTTCCCTATTCGCGGCGCGATTGACATTGTCAAGGGCCTTGAGAAGAAGCGCCAGAGACGCAAGGAGAAGTTTTATCAAAAGTACTGCAACCGAGCTCGTCGCGGTCAGATCCCAGAGAGAAAACCCCAGCCAGGTCGCGGGGCTCTCAGAATGCGAGAGCTGGGACTGCTCATGGCTGGCAAGAAAGACCAAGGCAATTACGTTTTATCGGTATAATCAATCCAGGGATGGCTTAATCTTCTCTTCACCTATTTCATAGCCATTCCTATAACAAAGGTTTACCCCGCCTTTTGTTATTTCTTTCACTCAACCATGATCTATTTTCTTTGTCACTACCATGGGTACAGCATCGCACGGCGCAGAGGAAAAAATTATCCATCACACGTTCAAGGGAACCTGGGTAAACATCAACACATTAACGATCAACATGGCATTTTTCTTACACACATGTTTTCTCTTCTTGCATCATATTTACGGGCGGATATATTTTCTTGGGCGTTTTCAAGTATATTAGCATTTACGGGCATTCGGTTACGGGAATCATGGATGCTGCGCAAATTCATAAGCAAGCGTGTAGGGGCCAAGGCCTTCCTATTTCAATACATCATTTCCACATACAACTTTGTGCAGCTGTTTTTGCAATGAGTGAAATGTTTATTGCTGGTGAAGAAGCATGCCAGAGCTTGAACCTTCGTGAAAGCAAGATATGGGTATAGCCACGGGGAAAATGCTTTGACTCGCTCTTGTATGTAAGTGTTTACTTCTCCTTCCAACTAGCCACGTTTGATAAACCAGTTGGGGCATCATGACACGTAGCTGCGATATCGATTACTTGGGTGTGTTGGCAGTAGTGGTGGCCCAGCCATGTTTACAGTGGCACGTAAATTCAGGATGAAGAATAGTGGAAGTTGGTGTCTATGGGCACTAAGAGACTGAGTCGTATCATATATATATATATATTGCACAGGTAATCGAACATAATAAAACCGCATACTATGTATTTGAGTTCGCGACACATCTCGTCATCTTGCAGTGACGACAGTCCACGGGATTGGTCAATATTTTGTGCCTGATATTCAAGGTATCCACCGGCGATGGTCTGTGACCGTCACTACAAGTCCTGCCAGCTTGCATCCCACCACCCACCACCAACTCACTCCACCACCTTACGATTCGACAAATCCTCGATCCGAGACGGAATAGAATTATTAATTCGAGAATTGCGGATAGTACTGTTTCATCATGTGGATCGTGAACTGGTGTAAGATGCTCCGTGGAGAGGAATTCCTTTATCAGGCCTGACAAGACTGACACGTGGGACACTTGTAGTCTACGATGCGCTCGCCTCTTTGGGCCTTCTGAACAAGCACGCCAAGCTCCTGTTCCTCGGACTTGACAATGCCGGAAAGACGACTCTGCTCCACATGCTGAAGGTACGCCGACGCCGCGAGCTTCTGGCCTAAGCCCGTTGCTCATCCTTGATTTCAACTCGGTGATATCATGTTAACGAAGCGCTCCTGCAGAACGACCGTGTCGCCATTCTCCAGCCAACCCTTCACCCAAGTGAGTCTATCCGTCCTATTTTCATCATGGGAGAAGAATGAGATAGCTAACGATCTTTGGGTAGCCTCTGAGGAGCTTGCTATTGGCAACGTCCGATTTACGACCTTTGACTTGGGTGGTCACCAGCAGGGTACGGAACCTTCCCCCATCACATCCCTACGAATTATTTCAGATGCAAAACCGAGAATGATAATGGCGAAGATGCTAACGTGATGCAGCCCGCCGTATCTGGAGAGATTACTTCCCCGACGTTAGCGGTGTCGTCTTCCTCGTCGACGCCAAGGACCACGAACGATTTGCTGAGGCCAAGGCCGAGCTCGATGCGCTCCTCGCCATGGAGGAGCTCTCCAAGGTTCCCTTTGTCATCCTAGGAAACAAGATCGACCACCCCGACGCCGTTTCCGAGGACGAGCTACGTCACCAGCTCGGCATGTACCAGACCACTGGCAAGGGCAAGGTTCCCCTGGAGGGCATCCGACCAGTTGAGGTGTTCATGTGCTCCGTGGTGATGCGCCAGGGCTACGGCGACGGCATCAGGTGGCTATCGCAGTACGTCTAAAGGAGGGGGGGGAGAACTGGGCTGAAGATGGGCCATATGTGCCCGGTAAGGGGCTTCGGCATGTGATTCGTGCCCGGGAACCCGAAGGGTGCAGATGGGGCATTGGAAGGGAGGAAGAAGGCGAAGTAGGGATGAGGCATGCGACTTGGGACAACGAGTAGATTCAGCATTCTCTTTAGGCGAACGTTGGTTGTGCAATTCCGATGGATTTGTTTTTCTGGTAATTTCTTGGTTGGGAGAAAGGCTCCTCGGAGCAGTAATTTTCAGGCCGGCTGGCGGTGGTCTTGTTCTCAATGGTCATTGCTCTCACGACCATGCCCAAGAATACTTACTGTGTATGAAGCTGAGCATGCTACAAAATATATCCGCATCTTTAAGTGACCCAACGCCAGACGAACCGTTCCGAGCAAACAAAGGTGCCAGTGTTTTGACTGACTGCTCGGCAAGCTGCGGTTCCGAAAAGCCAGCCTACCCTAAAGATCAGGACATCCTTGCATGCAGCAGCGGGTCCCGGAGGATTGGCAGCGCACCATGCAATGTTTAGATGGATCTTAAAATTTGTTTTTTATAACACGTACTTGGAGCCAGCTAGGTAATTTGGTCATTAACCAGATACGCTACCGCGAAGCGACTAGCTGCTACTCCGTCGGCAGTTCACGGTGCCGTATCCCTTTTCACGCCTTGTGTTTGGGTGCACTTGCGAACATCTGTCAATTCCGATCCCAAAGCATTGAGCCACACGTTGTACCCGAGCTTTAGGATATAGGGCTCAGTAGGGCTCAATTGATTGTCTTCGTCATGGCTCCGTCGACCCAGTATGAGTTTGGCGGCCCGTAAGTCTTCTCGCCCCCCCAATTGCCACCCGTCTCACCTCAGGTGATTGAACGTACAAGAGATGATGTAATGCTAACGCGTGAGTATCGGACGCCAGTATCGGTGCGGCGGGCATTGTCTTCGGCCTCCCGGTGCTGATGAATGTTATGTACCTCGGCTGCAATGACGTCTCGGGCTGTCCTGCCCCAGCTCTCCTCGAGCTGCGCTCCCTGACCTGGGACACTCTTAAGGCGCAGATCCCCTGGCCGGAGGACGGCATCTGGGGCTTTGCAAGCTGGAAGGTTACGGGATGGGTCCTGGCCTACTATCTGCTCAGCTTGATCCTGTACCGAGTTCTGCCAGCGACAGAAGTCTATGGCACTAAGCTGCGCGAGTCTGGCAAGCCTCTCAAGTACCGCTTCAATGGTGAGTTCTCCAGTCCCCTTAGCTGCTAGTCGGGTTGCTCCTTCAGATTGGCTAAGTGTCTCTTAGCCTTCCATGCGACGGTGGTGCAGCTGGTTGCCTGTGTCATTGGCACCTACATCCAGGGTGCCGACTTTGTGGTCTGGACCTTCATCACGGACAACTATCTGCAAATCCTGACGGCCAACATCATCCTGGCCTACATCATCTCCATCTGGGTCTACATCGCCAGCTTCAGCGTGAAGCAGGGCAACCCTGACATGCGTGAGCTGGCCAAGGGTGGCCATACCGGAAACCTGATCTACGACTTCTTCATTGGACGGGAGCTCAACCCGCGTGTCACTCTCCCCTTTTTCGGAGAAATTGATGTCAAGGCGTGGCTGGAGATGCGTCCTGGTCTTACCGGCTGGGCCCTGCTTGACCTCGCCTTCATTGCTCAGCAGTACCGCAACTACGGCTACATCTCCGACAGCATCATCATCGTTGCCGCCGTGCAATCGTACTATGTCCTGGAGGGGCAGTTCGCCGAGGCCGGCATCCTGGGCATGATGGACATTACGACGGACGGTCTCGGTTTCATGCTTAACTTTGGCGACATAGTCTGGGTCCCCTTCCTCTACTCCACCCAATGCCGATACCTCTCCGTCTACCCCGTCCAGCTCGGATGGGCCGGCGTCGCCGCCAACGCCCTCGTCTTCGCCGTGGGCGTCTCCATCTTCCGGGCCGCCAACTCCCAGAAGAACAGGTTCCGCACCAACCCCAACAGCCCGGAGTTTGCCAACATGACCTTCCTCCAGACCAAGAGGGGCACGAGGCTGCTCACCAGCGGCTGGTGGGGCATGGCCCGCCACATCAACTACTTTGGCGACTGGCTGCAGTCCCTGCCCTTCTGCCTGCCGACCGGGATCGCCGGCTACGTCATCTTCCCCGCCGCCAGCGGCCTGACCGGCGTCGGCGTCAAGACGATGCTGGGCGGCCAGGAGGTCATGCAGGGCGAGCTCAGGGGCTGGGGCATGCTCTTCACGTACTTCTACTCGGCCTGGTTCGCCTTCATGCTCGTCCACCGCGAGCGCAGGGACGACGCCGCCTGTGCTGAGAAGTACGGCGACGACTGGGTTGCCTACAAGAAGAAGGTCCCATCCAGAATCATCCCCGGAATCTACTAGACGGTTTTCACCACTGTCTTGTGGATGGGGTGTCAATGGGCTGGTATAAAACTTATTTGCGGTGTCTCTTCACCCCACGTTTTCTCGTGGACGCTGCCACCAGCTCATTTACCGAAATCTATGCCATTTTTTGGGGGTAATCTGTCGTTCTCTCGGCATATACATTTACGCATATTAATTTCTTTATTCTGGATAGACTACTCCGCCATGGAAGTGTAATGAGGGGGGGTAAACAAAAAAAGGGGTCAGCGAGTTTAAAGATTGTAGAGAATGAAAGCAAAGATTCTAAAACCCCCACTACCTTACTGCTTGAATGTGCATGTCCCGCCCTTTCTAGTTGGAAGGCACCGATTCATCAGCAGAAACGAATTGCGCGACGGGCGTATACCGCCACCGTTTAAAGCTTGCCAGACCCCCCTCTGGACAATCCGCGCCCTCGCCGGCCCCGTTGCAGGTCGCAAAGGCCCCCACGAGGCTCCCGACGAAGGACCCGTTGCCGCCGCTGACCAGCCCGGAGGACGCGGTGCCCAGCACGATGTCGGGTGTGCTGGAGCATCGCTTCGATGCGGAGAGCTCGTAGGAGAGGGGGTCCTTTGCCTGGATGCGCAGCCTCATTGGTCCTGGTCGCTTGAGCCAGTCCTCGGGCACGTCTACGATCTTCTCGGGGAGCGGGCCGCCTGTGCCCTCGGCGCGGAGGCGTAGGGAGAGTTTTGGGGTCTTGTCTGTGTCGCCTCTGAGCAGCACGACGCTCACGTCGATGTGGTTGGCTTGGGTGAGGAAGACGGTGATACCTGCCTCCTGGCCAATTTCGCCGGGGGTGAAGTCTAGATCGACGGTGAAGTCAAAGAGGGTATGAGTTTGGCGCCTGCCGACGAAGGAGAGCCCGCGGCGACCTGTCAAGACGACATCAGTCTCTGAGTAGGGGACGCCCGTGAGGTTGTTCCTGCTAGGAACGATCTGCAGCCCCTTATCCGTGAAAGAAAAGGCACCATCCCGAGGCACGCGCCAATGCACGAAATGTTTCGGCAGCGTAGAGGAGGCGTCGAAATCGAACTCGTCTGCTTCGTCGTTCAAGTGCCCATCTCCAGGGACGGATTTGTCCTCGGCTGGCAGGGGCCACCCTTCCATCTCGCCGCGGACGTTTTGAAGGACTGGCCACTCGCCCTCCTCCCACCGCGCTGGATACAGAACGGTCTCTCGCCCCATGGGGTAGTTCTTGTACTCGGGGCCACAGCGTGTGGCGAGTGCTACTCCCCACCAGTTCCCCTCTGTGTCTGTGAAGAGGTCGCCGTGCCCGACTGTCTGGAAGTACTCGTCCGTGCCACGGTTGGTGAGAATTGGATTGTTGGCGTATGCTTCGTACGGGCCCTCGATGCTCTTGGCTCTCGCAATGGTGACGGAGTGGTCCAGTTCGGTACCACCCTCGGCAATGAGGAGGTAGTACCACCCGTCTCTCTTGTAAATGTGCGGTCCTTCGGGCCAGACGCCACCGGTCCCGTTCCAAAGGGAGATTGGGGGCTGGCTCAGCTCGCCAGTCTCCAGGTTGAGCTCTTGTAGGATGATCCCCTGGGTTGCGACGTACACCTTGCCATCGTCATCCCAGAAGATATCAGGGTCAATCTTGGTAGGACCGAATGTTACTGGGTCGCTCCAGGCATCATCGCTGAATGGATCCGTGGTCCTAAACAGAACGCCTATGATGCCGTCTTCTTGGCCGAGATATTCACAGATGAGGAAGAATTCCCCTTCGTGGTATCTCAGGGTCGCTGCGTACATGCCATCCTGCTGGCCATACGTGTTCCAGCTGATGCCCGGGAGCTGGGACTCGCGGCTCCAGCCGTGGGAGATGAGTCGCCAATTGCGAAGATCCTTGGATGCATAGATGGGGAGCCCCGGGAAGGCGATGAAGGTTGAGGTGACACAGAAGTAGGTATCGTCAACACGTATGCAGGATGGATCTGAGTGCCACCCTGGGAGGATTGGGTTGAAATACGTAGAATTGGCGATTTGATCCGCCAACGCTGTTCCCAAGCATAACGAGAAGAAGAGGGTTTGGACAAGAGAGGATATCTTCATCTTGGCTTGACGTCCTCGCGGGTTTTAGAAGCCGAGTGGACAGTGGCCATCGGATTCCAATGTCTTTTGGCTTGAGAGCCCATCGTCTCTATTTTCTATCTGAATTTCAACATCAATACAAATACAGGCAGAAGTTGGTTTTGGCTAATACGAAGATTTAGCCGTTCGGAGCAAATACTACCCTGCGATATGTGCCTAAGTGTGAGGCGGGGCGCAGATGATGCTAGACGTCCCAATCACCTCTATTAGTTCTCTCCATCCCGTCCCGTCGATCATCGGAGGTTATAGCTAGAGGTTCACATCCTCCGACTCTCTCATAGGTGGTGGCCGTCAGAAAACCAGGGGCCGCAAAGTCACCTCGGCAGTGAATAAGTGTTGCATAGTTCGGATAATAATGCATCATGCTGTGTAACAATGTAAGAATATTATGCGACGACAATCCCAACCTCAACAATTCATCAATATTTCATGCCATTGCATCTCAATATTGTGGCTTGTAATAGAAAGTCGAGATATGGAAAC